CGTTTCGTCTTATAGCGTGAATTCCTAAGCCATTATAATATATTCTGCCATAAGTCAATTTTCTCAGGCATAAAATTCTTTCCTGACTCTCAACCTATCAGAAGAGCCGTTTCACAGGGTTATGTTCACCTCTGTTCTTTTTAACCAATCAGAAAGTCCATTTCGTACCTGCCGGAGCTCAACCAATCAACACCAATGTTTCTTTTGTTTTCCCAAGTTTCAGACAACAAGAGCTTCTGTTTACGTTCATGGAATTTGTTCTTCGCTGCTGAACTTAAAATGCAAGATTTACTTTACCTGCAAGATTTACTTTACCTGCAAGATTTACTTTACCTGCAAGATTTACTTTACCTACAAGATTTACTTTAATTTACCAGCTAGACTTAATTCACTTAATCTTACCTGTCATACTTAGGGGCGGTATACTTATTAACTTGAAGATCTCACATGATAGCCGATAATGACCTACCGAGACTAACGGAACGCCAGAGGTGGTAGGTGAATGGTGGGCGATGATTCGTCTGGCGCTGCTGTCTGCTCGTAACGGCGTTCTTTATTATATAGGAGTAAGGTGTATGAGTCCCGGCTTATTAAGTGACGCCTATGGCCTAACGTCTTTGAGCTGAGGCCTATGAACTGAGGCCTATGAACTGAGGCCTATGAACTGAGGCCTATAAACTGAGGCCTATGAACTGAGGCCTATAAACTGAGGCCTATAAACTGAGGCCTATGAACTGAGGCCTATAAGCTGAGGCCCATGAGGTGGGTCTTAAGAATGTCTTATTATAGACCGTTGTGTTGCCGCTTTACCCTGACGTTATGTAAATGAGGGAGGGAGGGAGGGAGGGAGGGAGGGAAGAAGGAAGACTACGAGGAGGAAGGAAAGAAGGAAAAGAGGGAAAATCCTTTATAGTTAAGTACCGTCAGATTATCTTTGTCTCTCACTCCTACCTCATCTCTCACTCATCTCTGTCTCTCACTCATCTCTGTCTCTCACTCCTGCCTCATCTCTCACTCATCTCTGTCTCTCACTCCTGCCTCATCTCTCACTCATCACTGTCTCTCACTCCTACCTCATCTCTCACTCATCACTGTCTCTCACTCCTACCTATTCTCTCATCCATCTCTGTCTCTCACTCCTGCCTCATCTCTCACTCATCTCCGTCTCTCACTCCTGCCTCATCTCTGTCTCTCACCTACCTCTACTTTATCTCTCATCTATCTCTCGTGTGTGTGAGAGAGAGAGAGAGAGAGAGTCAGGGAGAGTCAGGGAGAAAGAGGAAGTGAGAGAAGAAAGGGAGAATAGACAAAAAAAAAGAGGAAGGGAGAAAGATTTTTAGATAAACGCACAAGAAGAATCGTACATAAAGAATCGTGCCAAGAATCACACTAATGACGCAGAAATGTGAATCGTGGTAGTCACTAAGGAGTCAACTAGGAAGCACCCAGTCATGGATATCACGAATCACCTGTCAGGAATGAGTCATCACCGAGAATCACGCCAAGGCATCCAATAACAAAGTAAATCACCAAGAATCATTAAGAATCACGCAGAATCACAAAGAATCAACTCACACAGAATCACCAAGACGCCTTATGAATCACCAAGACGCCTTAAGAAGCACACAATACACTGAAAATCACTAGACCATACAGAATCACAGAATCATACAGAATCACACACCCCCCTCCTCCGTAAAAGTGGGGCCAAGAGGTGGTAGAGAAGAGAGGAGGAATGGTCAGAAGATGGAGGGTTGGGAAGGTCATCGTGAAATGTCGTATGATTATTTTATTTTCTGTCTCGTGGTGGTGGGTAAAGGTGGTAGTGGTGGTGGGTGGTAGTGGTGGTGGTGAAGGTGGTAGTGGTGGTGGTGGTAAAGGTGGTAGTGTGGTGGTAAAGGTGGTAGTGGTGGTGGTAGTGGTGGTGGTGGTAGTATGTGTATTAGTGTGTAAAGTGGTAGTGGTGGTGGTGGCAAAGGTGGTAGAGGTGGGAGGTGGTAGAGGTGGTAGTGGTGGGTGGTGGGAGGTGGTGGTAGTAGGTGGTGGTGGTAAAGGTGTGGTGGTGGTGGTGGTGGTAGGTAAAGGAGTGTGGTATGGTAGTGGTGGTAAAGGTAGTGGTGGTGGTGGAGGTGGTGTAATGAAAAAGATATATAGTGGGGGAGATAGAAAGAAAATGTGGAGGGGGGGGAGAAACAACCCCTAAAATTAGAGAAAATTAATGAGAAAGAGTAATAAAGTAACCCAGAGAGAGAGAGAGAGAGAGAGAGAGAGAGAGAGAGAGAGAGAATGTTTCCTCATCAGCCTCTCTCAGACCATGAACAGGAAACCGTATAAGTCACCAGATGAGTGAGGGGAGATGACCGTGTGTGTGTGTGTGTGTGTGTGTGTGTGTGTGTGTGTGTGTGTGTGTGCTTAAATCACAATGCACCTTCAACTTTATCTACCTACTCTCTCTCTGTCTCTCTCTCTCTCTCTCTCACATATATTTCCTTCGCTCCTTCCAACTCCTTTTCTCTGATTTAAATTTCCTTTCTTCCTTCTTCTTAGTATTTCATTCATTCACTCTTCTTTCCCTATCCTATTTCTCATCTTCGTTCACCAATTCATCATCTTCCCACATCTTCCGTTTCTTTTTTATTCTTATTTTCCATTATTTTTTGTTTCTTTTCTCTCTCTTTCTCCTGTTTCTATTTCTCATCTTCACATTCCACTTCTCTTTCTGCGTCTCTTTCTCCTTCTCTTCCCGTCTTCTGATTCTCGTTAAAATCTTCCTCCATCATCATCTCCCCTTTCTCGTTCTCATTCTTCTCTTTTATCCATCTTCTAATTCCCACCCAATTCGCCCTGTTTCATTCCCTGTTCCTCTTCCCTTCTCCTCTTTCCTCCCATTCTCTCCCTTCTTCATCCTCTCTCCTCCTCTCCCCCCCCCCTCCTTCTCCTCGACCTCACCGGAGGACCTGAGGGCGTGAGGGGAAATAGGTCCATAATGAGGGGAATCTGCAGCCCCTCCCCTCGGCAGGTAAGGCGTTCGAGGGGGGGTGGGTGGAGGGAGTAAGGGGTGATGGGGTGGGGTGATGGGGGTGGAGTGGGACCAGGATATTGCCCGCTGATGAAGATTGATCGCGATAGAGCAGAGTTTTTTTGGTCACCCTCGGGATTGTATCGAGTCTCGAGTTTTGGCGAGACTTGAGATCAAAATAAAATACATATACTTTCCGTGTGGGCAAAGAAGGAAAGTTTAGGTGGGATTTTTTGTGATTCATTCGGTGCTTCAATGTGTCGAGTTTTGATAAATTGTTCTGGGATAAAGGGAGTTAAGTGTTTCGTGTGAAGTGATTCGGAACTTCAGGACTTTGGCTTATGTATTATGTTAAGTGGAAAAAAATGAAATAAAAATATTTATTCGCGAGTGATTTGGACTGCAAGGTTTCGATTCACACACACACACACAAATCACATGATTGTATAGAAGCTTCAAAACTTTAATGCACTTAGGAGTATATTTAAAAAAAATGAGTTTTATGGTTGATTAAAAGCCGTGAAACATCGATTACATGATGATTTACCCTCCCAGTTAATTCCACTTGAAAATTAACCATCCTAACGTAACCTAACCTTACCGAATGCCCAGGTAACATCAGGTTGGTTAATATTCAGGTGATATTACCTGGGAGAGCAAATCGCCGCATGATCCAAATATATTCTGGAATTCATTTAAATCTTTTGTAAATTGGGTTGAGAAAGTTGATTATTGTGGTTCATGTGATGGTTCAACTGGTTGATGTGAAGGTTCAACTGGTTCATGTGATGGTTCAACTGGTTCAGGTAATGGTTTAGAAGATAATGAACACTGGTGGAGATAAAGTTAAGAGAAATGAACAGAAACTTACTTATATGCGGGTTTTTTTTATGAATTATCGAATGTTATTAACCGCTTAGATGGATGGTCAAAGAGTTACTTGTCCAAAATTTTATAAAGATTAAATCAAGAGTTCAGAACTTTAACCCTGATGAACCCCTGCAGCAAGTGAAGGTTCAGTGCTTCGACTCCGGGTAAAGTGATCGTAAAAGTTGAAATTTGGGAGCTTTAGTGAGATGACCTTTGGAGAGGGTTTATTGATTCAAAGCTTCACCTACTAAGAGATGCAGTAAGCGTTGCAGGTTCGGAGCCTCAACCCGACACATGTCTATGAAGGAGAGTCTGTAAATCAATGTATGGCTGATGATTCGAAGCTTCGGGGTGAATAAGAATACCTAATGGTTTAGTGTTTCAAAATAATGAACCAATGACTTAGAAAAAGCAAAGGAAAACTAAGGGAAAAATAAGTGATTTACTTTAACTTATATGATATTTGTAAGTATTTAATAGTTAGCTTATAAGTATTCGTTTAAGGTTTGGATATTCTATGATTTTATTTAATATATGGCTGTTGGAAAGATATTATGAGTATTTAGATTAAGATTCACACACACACACACACACACACACACACACACACGTATGCATCACCAGCCTGGTCGTCTTCTCTCAACTCCACCCAACAACGTCGGCTACAGAAGGTACAGAAAAGGGCCTGCAGAGTCATGCTCGGCGCAGAATACTCCGGCTACACCAACGCTCTCTCCACCCTGGAAATGCCATCCCTCAGTGACCTCCACCACCAAGCACTGGAAAGGTTTGGCAGCCAACTAATACACCACCCTCGTCATCGCCACCTCCTGCAGCCCCCCACCCAACTCGCGCAGTCCGCCACTACAACAAAATTCAGCCCATAAGAGCCCGCACCGATAGATATAAGAACAGCACCATCCCATCTATTGTTAAAATAATAAACAACTCCTCATTTATGTACTGTACAGCCCTGTAAATGTGTTCAACGCATATTATATCATCATGTCTAAATCAAATGTAAGTCTGTATCTTTTCAGCCACCGGCTGCAACTCTATTACATACATACACAGTCTAAGGAACCAACTCACCCATCTTTCCAATCCCCAGGTGTCGGTGGCTCCTCTAAGGCTGACCAGGTAATCTCACGAAGCATCTTAGAGAGCTTACCCTCAACCCGAGGCTAGAAGGTCCTGACCGAGTACTGGTGAGTGTGTGAAGGGGGGTGGGGTGTTGTGAGGGGAGGTATTGTGAGGGGGTGTTGTGAGGGGGTTGTGAGGGGAGGTGCTGTGAGGGGAGGTGTTGTGAGGGAGAGGTGTTGTGAGGGGGTTGTGGAGGGGAGGTGTTGTGAGGGAGGGATGGGGTGTTGTGAGGGGGTTTTAGAGGGGAGGTGTTGTGAGTAGGAGTGGGTTTCTTGTGAGGGGGGAGGTAAGTACAGAGAGATTAAAGGTGGAGGGGGCTTGTGAGGGGAGGTACAGGAGGGAGGGACAGGTGCGAGGAGGGTGTGAGGAGGCAGGTGTAAGGGAGGCAATGTGAGGGAGGGGCAGGTGTGAGGAGGGACAGGTGAGGGAGGCAGGTGTGAGGGAGGAATGTGTGAGGAGGGGCAGGTGTGAGGGAGGGGCAGGTGTGAGGAGGGGCAGGTGTGAGGGAGGGCAGGTGTGAGGAGGGGCAGGTGTGAGGAGGGCAGGTGTGAGGGAAGCGCAGGCAGGTGGAGGAGGGGCAGGTGAGGGAGGGGCAGGTGAGGAGGGCAGGTGTAAAGGAGGCAGGTGTAAGGGAGGGCAGGTGTATGGGAGGGGCAGGTAAGGTGAAAAATTCACATGTAGAGCTTACTCGCACCCACTGTCCTTCACTTCCCTCTACCTTTCCTCACTCCCTCCCCTCACCCCCCACTCCCCTCCCCTCCCCTCACACCCTGGAAGTGCCTCAGTTGATGGAATGTTTACAGCGGGGTGCAGGTGAGAGCCCAGTGTGTTATCCTGTCGGGGAAGATTGTAAAAGACGGGAATGGCTTGTTTGTTACGACTCTAGGTTGTTTGGTGGTGAGGGAGAGTTGTGGTGGTGGTGGTGAGGGAGAGTGGTGGTGGTGGTGAGGGAGAGTGGTGGTGGTGAGGGAGAGGTGGTGGTGGTGAGGAGAGGGTGGTGGTGTTGGTGGTGGTGGTGGTGGTGAGGGAGTGTGGTGGTGGTGATAAGGAGGATAGTAGTGGTGTGTGTGTGTGTGTGTGTGTGTGTGTGTGTGTGTGTGTGTGTGTGTGTGTGTGTGTGTGTGTGTGTGGATATTTATATAGATATATTGTAAAACACCAGCACTATAAGATAATAAAACATCATGCTCAATGGCAGCGTTACACTTCCTTATAACACACACACACACACACACACACACACACACACACACACACACACACACACACACACACACACACACACACACACACACAAACAACTATTCAGTCACTCACCTTTACCGATCTAACACCTCCCTCTTCACCCTCCTCCTCTACCCTCCTTAACTCTCACCCCCTCTCTGCTTCCCTCCCACCACCCTCCACTTCCCCTCTCTTACCACTACACCCACACCCACCCTTCTCTCCCTACCCACACCCTCCTTCACCCTCCTTACTCTTCATATTCCCAACACACGCAGACACGCACACACCCTCCTAGCCCCCACCCTTCCTCCCTCCCTCACCCTTTCTCAGCACCTTCCCTCACCTCTACCTCCCTCACTCCTTGCCTTCCCTCCCTCCTCCTCACTTCCTCCTCCTCCCTTCTCACCCTTCACCTTCCTCAATTCTTACCTCCTTCCCTCACCTTCCCTCCCTCCAGCCATACATATTGCTTAGGACTGTACACGTCGACGCAAATTTTCGAGACAGGCATCGTATGAGCTCGATTGGCTTAGTTACCCCTTAGTCGATAGTTCCTGGAAGAGGGGGTAGAGGAGGGGTGGAGAGGGAGGGGTAGAAGGGGAGGGGGTATGGGGTGGGGGGTTATGGGGTGAGTGGGAAGGGGGTACGGAGGAGGGGGTGACTGGTTGGAGGGAGGGAAGTAGGGGGGGTTGGTGGAGGGAAGGAGGGAGGGGGTACTTGCTTATTTCTCAACCACTATTCATTATCCCTCTATGGTGGTCAATAAATGGTGGTAATTGGATTTCTCTGTGGTGGATGGTGGTTGTGGATAGTGATTGATACTTTGTTTATAAGAGTTGTTTGTTAAATCTGTTTGAGGTTTGTTTGAGTGATTGTAGTTGATTTGTAAAGAAGTTTGTGTGTTGGTTGTTGTTTGACGATAAATTTATGTATGTTTTAAATAGTTTATCGTTTGTGTTGTATTGATAAAAGTTGTTTGAATCTTTTTATTTACATTTACTTGTTTGTTTGTGTGTTTATATGAAGCTTTATAGGATGGTTCTTGTTTGCTGTTTGTTAACTTACTTTCTTTTGTGGTAATTTACTTGGTGTTTTGTATATCCAGTTCTGGCTGTCCTAAAACTATTTATTTAATGACATGTATGAAATATTTAACTTAATTTCATATCTACAGTGAAAACAAATACAACTTTTTTCTTTATCACGTCAGAGGAAATTCCCTTCCCTCACTGGTTTGACTGATGGATGATTATTCACGTATAATTTTTTTTTAATGAATTACAGTTTAACTAATGTTTTTATTTTTCGTGGTAAATTTATTAACCTTTTTCTGTCTCACCTGTTAATTATAAAGTCAATCTGAATTTTTTTTACCTGTCATACGTGTAGAACCTTTTCGATATCAAATCAATTTAGAACCTTTTAACACCACAGGCCACCGGCAGAGATTATTGACACCCATCAGCTCAAACAAGGCTTTTGACACGAGTTCTCCACTTAGGAGCGTTTGACTTGACACCAGATCCCCCCTACCTTTACAACAGGGCCTTTTGACACCTCAGTTTTCAATAGGCCTTTGACACGACGCCTTGTTAAGAGAGTGAGCCAAGTGCCACAATATCCACTTGTCACTTAGCGCCTTTGTCCCCACATACTGGTGGCACAGTGCCCGGTCGTCGTTAATTCATTAGTGGCAGTGTTGCTTTACAAAGGACACGCCTCTCTCGGTGCAGGTGGATCGATAGGCTCTACCGGGCCTGGCTGGCTGGCTGGGGCGCCACGCCTACCAGGACCTGCCACCCGACACACCTACAGGCCTGCCTCTCTCTGTCCAGGACCTGCCACCCAACACACCTACAGGCCTAAGCTCTCTCTGTCCAGGACCTGCCACCCAACACACCTACAGGCCTGCCTCTCTGTGTCCAGGACCTGCCACCCAACACACCTACAGGCCTGCCTCTCTCTGTCCAGACCTTGCCCAACACACCTACAGGCCTGCCTCTGTGTCCAGGACCTGCCACCAACACACCTACAGGCCTGCCCTCAGCAACCAGGACCTGCCACCGCCAAATTGGGCGTCAGGCCCACTCTTGTGTTAGGTCCTCTCATGTCTAGAGTCTCCTCGTGTTTAGTGTCCTCTTGTGTCTTAAGGCTGCCCTCCTCCCCTCGTCTTTAGGGCACCACACCCCTCCTCCCCCGAATCCTCCTTCCCCAACACTCCTATCACAGGCCTAGGAGGAGGAAGAGGAGGAGGAGGGGGACGTCACGCCTTCCCGGATCCCGTCCTGCCTCATAGCAACCTCCTGCACAGTACCCCTCTCCTCCCCCTCACCCCACTGTGCCCGTTACTAACACCACAGGGTTGCTGATATAGATCCCGTCTCCCTTAACATTGGCACAGGACCTTAATCACTGCCATAGAGCCCCCTGAAGTGCCAGAAGCTCCTCCAGCAATTACACAAGGCACCCCGCAGGGCCACACGCCTCCTCAACATTGTCACCGAGCTTCCAAGACCACAACAGGCCCGTTCCTTCAACACTATAAGGAGTTCGACCTTGTTGGTGTTAGGGCGTGTAGGACTCCACTGTAGGACCCCACTTCTCTTACATAACTCCAAACACCTTCCCTCTCCTAGAACAAAGAGAGAGAGAGAGAGAGAGAGAGAGAGAGAGAGAGAGAGAGAGAGAGAGAGAGGGGATGGGTTACATTAGGGGAGGAGGGAGGAGGGCGGGAGAAAAGCAGGAAATGATTCTGAGATTTACCAAAAAGGAATACAGAATGATGGGTGGGGAGGAGAGGAGGGAAAATGGGATGGGAGGGGAGAAGAAGGTATAGGAGGAGGAGGGACGGAAAATAAGAGAAGAGGAGATGTGAGGAAAGAAGAGGAATGTGAGAAGGAAAGAATGAAAATGGGGAAGAGGATATAGAAAGGATAGAAGAAGAGGAAAGATAGGTGATGGGACGGGAAAGGGAAGAAGGAAGGAAGGAAGGAAGGAGAGGGAGAGAGGAAGGAGGAAGAGAGTAAGAGAGGAACAAGTGAAGAGCAAAGAGCAGAGAGGTTGGGGGGTGAGGCAGGAAGAGGAGGGATGAAGGAGAGGGAAGAAGAGGGAGAGAAGAACGGGAGGGAGGAAGAGAAGAGAGGAAGGGAGGATTGAAGGAGAGAGAGAAGAAGGGAGGGAGGAGAGGAGAGAGGAGGAACGAGAGAGAAGTAAGGAGGGAGAAAAGGAGAGGGAAGAAAGGGGATGAAGGGGAGAGCGGAAGGAGAGCGGATGGGGAGGAAGGAAAGGGAGGTTAACAGATGAAAGGTTCAATGTCCGAATTTTTGGTCAAAGCGATAAACTATATTTACTTTTTCTCTCTTTTTTTCTGGACAGAGATAGGGAGGTGGGGAGGTGGGGTGGGGTGGGGAGGAGGGGAGGTGTGGAGGTGGGAGGTGGGGTGGGGGTGGGGGGGGGTGGGGTGGGGAGGTGTGGAGGTGGGGAGGTGTGGAGGTGTGGAGGTGGGGTAAGGTGGGGGTGAGGTGGAGGTGTGGAGGTGGAGGGTCGACTTTGACGGCAGAATATCCCCCCATGCACACAAAAATACAAACGTACACACACAAACGTACACGGACACACGTACACGCACGCATACACCATAAGTGACCACCTTCCTGGATGACCTCGCTTGAACCTGGCCAATGAAACCTAATTGAAGGAGTCGGGTGATGAAAGTGATAAACCCCTAAGGTCTTTAAGGTCGGGTTTCTACCTCTTAACCTCTGGGTAGTTGAGCCTTAACAACCAGTACACATATATACCACGCCAGTTGAAACCTTCCCCTACACTATTCCCTTAT